ATCATCTTGATGTGAACAGACCAACTCTAAGTTGCCGTAATTTTGCTACCGACAATTTGACTGTCAGAGCCGCTAATCTACTGCAGGTCAAGTCTTCTTGAGAACCACCCGGAGATCGGCCCCAGATTCTCACAAAGACCTCTCAAGGCAACCATGGCCCATCCCAACTCCGCTACTCCACCCGGCAAAATGCCCAGACCCCTGATGCCTGGCGTTCCCCACAAAGACCCGACTTGGATCAAGCTCCTTTTCACAGCACCCTGTTCCGACCATATGCCCAAAACATGGTAGTGGACCGAATGACAAGTGGAAAAAGTAGACCCGTTCGGGAGACTCTTTGGCGGTCCGGACCGTGGGCCGAGCCACCTGAAAAATGAGTCACGTCACGATCGTTGCCCCGGGCGGAGTTGGAGGTGGCAAACCGGGAAAACCACCTGAAATCAAGCAACCAAAATCCACCTGGATGTTGTTAGAGCATCTTAGAAGCTAAAATTAGGCAAACAGCTGCGTCGTATTGGAGAATCACTGGAGAAGTCACGAATAGCTCTTCATGAAATCAAGGGGTGAAGAAGGAAGATGCTTCCCTTACTTTCATCAAGATCCCTTGTTCCAGACCTTGCGCGGTCAGATGTCATCTAGAATCTAGATGGTCAATGCCAGCCTTGATTTACCAGCTGAAGCAAATCCCTGTCGACCCGCGGGAAAACGGGGATTCACCAGCTGATACATCGACGGGGATGTCGCGTCTTGCCCGACCCGAAGGCGGTTTCGTGGACTCGGTGGACTCGGTGCGTCGACGCGATGGACCTTTGGTGCTCCATTCATCAAGGCACGGGAAAACCACGAAAACATGCCGAACAGAATTGATTTGCATGGTGGGTGCCAAAGCACCCGTTTCGACCAGTATACTTGTCAGACTGAGAGGACTGTGTACTTCCAGGCACTGTCAAGGCAGAATTTTCAATGCGTTGGGCGCGAAGCCACGCAACGTCTGCACTGCACTCATGCACTCAGCCAGACCAGGGAAACGAGATCCATGGAAGGTCTCTCGGACATCCTGCGTAATCGGCTTTAACATGCTTGAACCATCTTCAACCGCCTTAGCTTGGCTGACAAAGTTGACTGACCCCTGGACAAAGTTTGTGTTGGATGGCTTGTATCTCCACCGGTTCAACTTCGTACGTGCAGTGGAGTTACAGGGTTATCACCAACTGACAGTGCGCTTCTGATGTGGAAACATTCCAGTTCAGCTTCCAATACTCAGTATTGCTCTGAGCTTAAAACCTGCATGCTTGTCTGAGGACGCACATAAGGACGGGATCATGGGATCATGTACACTGCAATGTGGTGAACTGCTCTCCATCACGCAGTCTTGGTTTTTCTGAACAAAACACAGATCATGGGGAAAACGCAGTCTGGGCTTGGGAAAAATGTTGGGGACAAGTGGCCTTCCTGCTATTGGTGTGATGCAGTCTCACCGAGGTTTTCCGAGATACGTGGTTCCAAAGGCTATGGCTATAGCCGACCATGCCATCGAGCATCTTGTTCAATTAACTCCCAAACACTTGGCCTACATGCAAGGTGGGCGATGTCTCGCTTGGCCTAAATGTAGGGCTCAACCCCTTAAACCAGCAGAAAACCCAACTCACCGAAGCCTAAATTCAATCTATCCGCACATGGTCATATCTCATCTACAGAAAACTTTGGGAGTCACCTGGTATCTTGCCGGGCCAAGGTTCAGTGCGCTGGTGGCCACTTCGTCTATTTTTGCAGGTCCAGATACATACCAAGGCCGAGGCGGACGCTCGTAGTCTCCCCACAAAACGGTTGAAAGGACGGCCGCGGAGAGACCGTTCGATCTCAACACCGTATGAGATCCACTTGTGGTCCACCCGGAGAGACCGGTCAGCTCAGTGTTTGGTTGGGCGGATGGGCCTGATGCTGCATCACACAGAATGTAGGGATCCTTGAAGACACACACACATCCACACAATCCTTTCTGACATGTGTTGAAGAATTGCATGGAAAACTACCTCCGCATGTGTGTAAGCCGATCGTTTGCTGTGCAAGGCATGTTGAGGCCGGGGACGGTTTCACACCCGACCTCATATTCCAAGAGCTGTTTTGACACCCAGTGCACCCCACGCAGCTTCGGCATGCCAACCACAAATGGACCACTGGTGATTGAAGATTTCATCAAAGCGAATGCTCACACACCTACGTTTCCTTCAGCAACATTCCACTTTCGTCGTCCTGACAATCAGTAGTCAGTGTCCAGGTTCCACCTCATACCTACAACATGCCAAAAAGTCCTAGTAACTATACTCCGAAGACTCACTAGAGTAGAGCGCCTTGCCTGTCAACAAACGGGTTGCTTGCCACAGCATCTTCGCACTACCTGATGAACAGTAGGAAAAATGAGGGGATGCACACGGATGCACACGGTGCCGCTCATGGTTTGCCAAACAAATCACATGAATTAAGGCCAGCCAGAAATCAAACACTTGGTTGGGTGGCGGCATGGCACCTGACGGGCGCAACCAATCCCACACAGGATTTGTGCAGGAACAGGCTGGTGGAGGTGTGTGTTTGTCTGTGTGCCCCCCACCTCTGTTCCGAACAGTCTTTGCATGCTCCTACTAGCTTAGCTCTGGCATTTTGCCCAGCCAGCAGAGTTCCACTGAACGAAGTTCTGTGTAGTGTTTCACCTGCATTTCCTCTGGAATCTAGAAGACCGTCTTGGAGTCTTTTTCAGGTGAATAACTTAGTCATACACTCAATCATAAGTAGAGAGATTTTGCGGGCAACGACCACCTGGAAGAAGGTAAATAGGCCAGTCTATCCATGGGGCGAGGGGGCCTCCCTATCAGAAGCTACTAGGTGGAGGCCATCGCTATTAGGTTGGAGGCCAGCACTACTAGGAACAAGAAGCTACTGGTAATCAGTGCCTCGCTATTTCCTCCTAGTAACTAGTAGTAATGCACTTGTCACTTGTTACTAGTAGCGATGCACTTGTTACTACTAGTAAGGCACTTGTTATTAGCAAGAAGCTACTAAGGAGTCTTTTGGGGCCATCTCGTTTCATCTCTACGAACCCGGCCGATTGATTGGGGGACAACAGTTGATTAAAAAATTGATTTTGCACGTTTAGAGTTTAAAAAAGAAAATTCAGTGTGTTTTTGTATCAAAAGGTGCCTTTGGGCATATTGAGCAGGGGCAATGTTTCCCACACGGCTAGAACACGGCAGTCACGGTGTCCTTTGGAACTTGGATTCCTTGACGTTAACCTTTGGAGGTTGGACCCCTTTTGCACTACTTTGGCTTTCTTTATATACCGAGGTTACTTCAGCGCTTGGCACAATCACATCGAACGCATAATTTTTTTGAGTTCGTGTGTGTGTGTGTGTGGCTGGAGGCCATGCCCTTCAGTTGCCAACAACACCCTGGGTCCATGGCAACTTCCAAAGCAGGGAAGGTGTGAGGGGACACTGCCAAAGAACCCAGATTGAGAGGCCATGGTAAAACCATGGGAAAATTGGGGGAAAACAAGTCAGGCTCAGCATTTCTTGACAAGTCTTGCTTCCTCATCTCACCAATAACCATGCCGTCTTCACGACGTAGAATAGAAGGGGGTTCCCATGCGTTGGAGGGATGGACATGAGCATGCTGAAATTGTACCCAATTTTTCAGAACATGCCGAGCACAATGCTTAAAAAATTTGGACGGCTTGCACATGAAACACAAACTCTGCTTGTCTGCCTTCCAGCTCAACTGCGAACAGCGCAGAGTAGCAAGCCGCAGCAGCACAACTGCCAATCGCACTGTGCGGATTGAAGATTTCAGGTGGTTCTATTCAAGGCTCAGATTTATACATGTGCCGCCAACAAATACTGTTTCATCTCCGATTGAATGTTCCAGGGTCATACCTGTTGTGAAAACATGTTGATGAACATGTTCACAGCGAAAAGTGGAACATTGTCTGCTGAAAATGTGAGAAAATGACGCACAAAAGCAAAAGAAATGATATGATGATATGGGATCAGCATGAATCAACGGTACCTGACCGAATGTCCTGTCCTACAGCCACTGATTATATAATTAGACCAAACCACACCTTGAACCATGAGCCGCGAATGTCGAATCCCAGAGCAATGGGCAATGATCTTAAGCAACTGAAACTTGCATATGTAGAGCCTTGCAAACACCTGCCTGCCATCAAACACTTGGAACAGCTGGACATTGCTGCCCTCGTCACAAGATCGCCCACAAGGCAATTCAAAAATGCGTCAGGCTTTGCAGTTTCTTGTGTTGGAAACTCTCTCTGTCTCTCGTTAGCAGTATGTCGTTCAAGCTTGGGCATGATTCCCTTCCCAAACACAGACTGAAACAAACTGGAATCAACCAAGCTAGTGTCAAGAGGTATATATTACTTTGACCGGGGGCCCGCATGGCAACTTCTCATCACTATATAAAATATCACAAGACCGTTTGCTTGTGCACCACTTGTCGAAAGTGACTACCAACTAATTTGTCGCCCAACCAAAAATTGCAGCTGCCAGACCTCAACACTTGGTCACTTGGCGTAGCATTGTAATTGTACAGTGGCAAAGCACCTGAGGCAAAGTGCAACATAGTGACAACTACATAATCAGCCTGCTTCTTGAGCAAACACAAAGCAGGCCAGACTTGATTCATCTCCATCAGTGCACATTGGCTGCTTTGTCTTTGCTGAAGAAGCTGGCAACATGTGCACTCTTGCCATTCAGCTGCAACACCCTAGGTCCGTTTCATCTCCCGAAATTAATGAGAGACACTGCACGGAACCCAGAAAATCAGCTGCCGTAACGAGATCGCAGAAGGCGATCGAAAATGGGGAAAACAATGAAAAGCACCGTAATTAACGGCTCATAAGAAAAAGTTTGGTCAGCCTGTGCCTTTTGCCCAGCAATTGCGAGCTGAAAATTGTTGCCCGTGCCGATGTTCGGCAGAACATCAGTCACTCATGACAGCATTGAAGAACAAAGCGGATCATAAGAATCGTCATTCTCCGATGCTTGAAGTTCCAACCTCATAGCCTAAGACACAAACGGCGGGTAGAATGTCGAAAACAACCAGCACAAGCTGCCAACACTTGAAAGAGAATTTTGGAAGTGACTGTGTGTATGCATGATCATCTTTGGTACCAACACTTCACGCTTGCACCAAGTCTCATGTTCATCCCGCTTCTCTTCTACCTGCTCGGACAAGCTCGCTGGCTGGTGGTCCAGATCCTTCAAGTAGTTTCCCAGCTTCAACACGTGGCGCTCATGCATGATGCGGTTGGGAGGCAAAGGCACCGGGATGCCCCGGGGCACCCAGCTCGGAGTGCGAGTGCACCTGCGCGAGGTTCGGCCGAAGCGAATCGAAGCCCCACCGAAGCGGACGAGCATGATTATATAACCCCATCCAAGGTCACCCTCTGACCATCGCGCCCCATTTTGGTGGCCACTTTGAAACCCAACTGCATCAAGGCACTTGTAGGAGCTTTGGAAGCCCACTTGCTCCTCAGAGAGATCGACTGCATCAGCACCGTCCACCACTTGGCAGGGCCTCAGTGACGCACGAAGAAGTGACGCAGAGGTCGGTGCACGCAAGCCACGCACTTCAAACACGGGCTGTCCTTTGGAGTGGATGCGCCCAAGCGAGGCGGGGTAAATTGAATTTGGGGGGATGGCAAGCATATGGTAGGTGGATTGGTGTAGAAATCACATCACATGCGAAGGATTGGTGGATTGCTGGATTGCAGAAATCACATGCGAAGTTCAAGAAACAAAACCAATGAAATCCTCGATCATATATGATCAAGTGGAGTTGTAGCCAAACATACTTGCATGATCTTGGTTTTGACCTAAGGCCGGCAAACCATGGCATTGTGTTCGTCGTAAATTAAGTCGCGCTTATATACTATGTTTTTGCTTATCCCGAGGGATCCCGACGGCACACTATGGGAGGACATGCTTTGCTGACAGGGCAGCAGAAAAAACAGCGCGTCAGCGACATGAAGCATGCTGTTTCTCTCCAGGTGATCAAACGTGTGTCCTCCTTTGACATTGTGTAACGACTACAGTATATATAATATATAATATATATATATTGTATATAATATATAATATATATAATATAATGTGTATATATATATATATATATTATATATATAGTTATATATATATTATGTGCTGGAACAACAAACAATGATGTTCCAGGACCCACACGTTGACCACGTGAAACAAAAAACGATGAAACACAATGAACAATATTGAAAAGATCAATGAAAAATCAGCTTCTTCATCAACAAGGTCGCAAAGCACTCCATAACCTCTCACTCGTGTTGGTGGATGTGGTCCCTGTCGACACCTGGGACTCCGTGGACACAAGAAGGATGGCCTCAAGTCGCCTGCTGGAACAGAAAAAAACAGACAGCTCCCTTGCCTGGGTCGTGCAAAAAAGGGAACCGGCCCAGTGGGGTAGTTTTTCAAAGCTTCCACAATGACTGCTATCTGTTCTGCGGAGGTGGTGGGACTCAACGGTGACAAACACTGGGATCAACCCAAGTCGCGCACCCCCCTTCCTGTGTTTTCTTGTTGGTGCATTCTTGTTGATGACTGTCTTTTTGTATGCGTCTCCCTCCATTTATCGAGTTCTGATCTACCTCCCATCTCAGACAATTCAGACATCTCTGAAGAGAAAGCTCTCCCCACACCACCCTGACCCCACCCCCTTTCGCCTTCACTTTCGCCCTAAATCCCCCGAAATCTCCGTACCAATCCCACCAGCAAGTCGCCGCGAAAAAGAGGAAACCCCAACACACGCCGCGTAGGACCGACACGGGGCTGCCTGGCTCTTGGGACGGATCCTCCGCAGGGTCTCCATGGCCATCTGTTCATCCAAGACCTGAAGACTCGTCCGAGGCATCGAGGCATGGACCTCGAGGCATTGCGCCAGTCGTGCGTCTCCTGCGGCCGATGGCCATCGGATGGCACCGTTGTGGTCTTGATGTGTTGGACCACGAGTTTTTGAAGGCAACCAAGAGGAACAAAAACACCGGACACGTCCTTTCAGGACCTGCACTTGTGAGGAACTTGCTCCACAGCCCATTGCAGCGAGCTCGTGTGGGCCGAAAAATGTCCAACAAAACTGAGCCAAAGCGAATCGTCGGACGAAGCTCTGGCGAATCCATCGTGTCCTCTTGGGGGTCCCCTTGATGCCACACAAAAGAGACCCAAACCTTTAGTTGAAAGTTCTAGCACTTCGTCAGACTCGACCCACCTGCGACGGAGAAAGTATCAGTATCGTTGGGGAGGCGAGCACTGTGCCGGACCCGTCAGCACACACTATACACAATCGAAAACTAACATAGACCCTTACAATGCCCCCCTGGAAGATTGTTTTCCTCTACCAACCTCTACCAACCAGTGGTTTCAGGGTCCATGTTAGTCTTCCAGGGTGTACAATCCCTATAGTGATACAAGCACATGTGCTAAGTCACCTGGGCTTGCTGAAAGTCCCCCGCATGAAAACGCAGCATGACCAGACAAGACAACTTTCTAAGACCAAACGACTTTCTAAGACCAAACGCCCACCTATAGTTACATAGTTGTAGGACCATGATTCACTATGCCCGGGCTGGTCCGACGGGCCCCTCAAACAAAAAGGCTTCGTTTCCAGCGAGGAGACGGATGCAGAGACCGTGGAGACGGATGTTGCTATGTCCAGTTCGTCGGACCTTGAAGGGAACTGCAACGATTTGGACTGCAATCCACCTCCAAACCACTCAAAAACATCCGGGGAATTCATAGAATTATCAACAGTCAGGTCAGATCCATCAATTTCTGGTCAGGTTCATGAATGATCTCCTGCACATGAATTCTACCTGGTCTTTTGGGCGGTCATGACCTGTCCCTTGCTGCACTTTCTAAGAAGTCATGGCATAAATCCCTCACATTCCCTCACAGCCAGCGTCCCGACTCCCTGCTTGACCGCCTTCACCTTTGGCTTCTCATCCGCTGGTTGGGCAGCCTCAGCCTGCCAGGTGGTTCCAACGAATTCTTAGCCATCCTGAACTCTCCGTTCTCAAACTCCCAAATCCCAAAAGATACGCAGGGTTCAGTCGCAACGTGTTCAGCCAAGATCTCCATTTCCCTCTGAAATGAAAACCACGGACGAGTACGAAAGCCAGCGAACGCCATGCCCGAGCCAGAAACCGGTGATGCGAAACACGCGAAGCACGACGACGATCCGAGCGGCGCCTGATGGTTTTGTGCCGGCCTTGGATCCGGTTTTCGGCCGCCGGCACTGGCAGGTCAATTGGGTGCCCTACACTCCACCGAATTGTCCTGACACACCCGGAAACACCAGGTGGGCGATCGTGAAAGGATGCGGCCATATGGAAACACCGGTGTACTTTTCGTTCAATCCTTCGCTGCGTTGTTCTCTGATTTCTTCTGAAAGGGTGGTTTCTTTTTTCATGTTTTTCCATGTGTCAAATCACCAGGATGGATGCATCTCGCCAAGGAGCACCTGGAGTGGTGCTGGTGCTGGTACTTGTTGAACTGGTGCTGCTTGAACTTGTGGCCGGCTCTTCTCTCCGGGAGCCGTGTTGATCTGAAGTTTATCCTGGGTGCTCGGTGCTGGTCGGTCGGTGGCGCCACCAAAACAAGCAGTCGCGCGTGGCGGTCAGGTGATGCCTTAAATTAGATTCAAACCAGTTTGGGACTTTCGCCGCTGAGGGAGACATGTACACCGAAAGTCCCGCTACTCGTAGTCCTGTCAGGAGTGGCCGGTGGCAGTCGAAGTCGATCTCCAGCCGGTCGCCGGTGCACAGGAGAGTTCCAAAAGAGGGCAAAAAAACAGGCAAAAACCAGCATTTACCATACGAGAGGATGGTGAAGAGTATGTCAGCTGGTGATCCATTCCAACATTCCCCTCACATCCCCCCCAGTTTGGCGTCCAACGGCACAAGTCAAGGGGCCAAGTTCCGACGTAGGCGGAGTTCTTGAGATTCATCCCCCTGCGCATGGCAGAGTTCTTAAGTCTTACCCTCCAAACGACCGACACACCCAAACAGTCAAGGACGTCCCACACATCATGTGTGTGTGTGTGGGTGAATCTGTCCATGTTCCATGCTGGAGAGCATCTTCATAAGACACTTCCCGTTCTTTTGGACTCTTTGTTCATACCTCGAATTCTGAGTTGTGCACATCTTGAATGCTGGAACCTCAACATGGAGTCGCATGTCGGCATATGGTCACCAAGCTGTGTGGCCATGGGCTACTTGTTTGAGAATCGCGGTGTCACTTTTCATTCTGAGTCTGAAATTCTCTTGAACGGATGGTGTGGGGAAGAAACGAAGCATGTTTCACATCTGTGTTCCAAAAGACTTGATCACCTTGCAACCACCCCATCGCACGAGATGTTCGTCCGCGCGGCTTTTGTCACCCTTGAGGTGGCTTTTTCTGTCCGGCGGACACCACGCTGCAGGAAACCCCGGAGCACAGAGAGATCCAGAAAAGGGTCCTGCCCCAAACACACATGCCATCGTCCTTGGGGAAGAGGATGGAAACATCTGCACAAATCGCAGTTCTGTTTGCATCTGTTTGCTAGGTCCCAACATCAGCATCTTTGAGCCATTGACCATATCAACAGGGTTGGAAAGGGATGTTTAGGGTAAACGGGACCTTCAGGCAAGCCTTTCTGTAGCCGTGTAGCTGCATTCACGTTCATAGAAACAAGTGAAACTATCTGTATAAAGCTATTGATCCAAGTCCAATAATTCTTTCAAGATGGATGAGATCATATGAGATCAAGACCTGTGCTCAAGAGCTCAAGAGCTCAAGGCCTGTGCTCTGAAAAGCATCCAAAACACTTTTGAAGAATACAGATCCAAAACACATCGCGTCCGTGTTCACATTCATTCCGGTTGGGGATCGCCACCATGGTGTTTTTCAACACGCCCGGTGACGAAGGCGTCCTGCTGAGCACCAAAGACGTCCAAACATCTTGTCCCTCTCTGTGACCCGTCTCGCCCGGACTGCCCACAGGTACCAAAGAGTTGGGCAGGCATGCCGCGCGATGTGCTTCAAAGGGAGTTGACCGGAAGCTCCTGCCGCTGCTTCCGGTAAGCCAGAAAAGGGTTTCCTTCACCAAAAGCATCAACACATTAGATTTATTAGAGCACAGTTTATTTGGTGTAGTGGAAAGGGTGTGCGTGGATTTCTTCACCAAAAAAACATCATCATGGCCTAACACCAAGCCCAAACCGTCTCAAATGTCGTGTAGCAGTGACAAAGGCCCTAAACTATAATAACCCATCTTGGGTAGGGTCATGATGTCCAAAAAGTGCTCCTAGAGACTTCCAAGAGTATCAGTATCAGATGTATCAAGAGATAAAGGAAATTGGATGAAAGGACGCCCCTCCAAGACTCCAAGAAAAATGAGTATGGACAAGTTCAGCATTCGATGCGAACTCCAAGGACACCCCTCCCTCAGGGAGGGTGGCCGTTCAAGCCGCGTTCCAATGCGAATCCACGCGAATCATCGTCTCTGGAAATTGTCTCTCGGCGAGAGAAAACCCCCCATCAGCCCCAATGAGTACGACTGAAACTCCGCTAGGCTTCGCTAAGACTGTGGAACGAGAGGGCGATTTTGAGCTACGATTGGTCCAATCTAACCAACTCTGGTTGGACAATTGGACGCAACAGCAAAGCTCTTGGAGCTGCTGTGCTGAATTCAGCCAGAGCCCATAGATATTGGCAAAGCTCTTACATAGCCCTGAAGCTTTGAGAGGGTTAGATGAAAATTGCCGACACTACGAGTTCGTTAGCCACATCATCTCGTCTCATGAACTGAACTCGCAAAAACATGGGGCCCAGAGAGAAACATCCTTTTCCTTGTAAGAAGCACCTCAGAGTTTTCGCCCGAAAGATTGTTCCTCGAGGTTCAGTGGACGAAGGACGAGACCTAGACCTTCCGGGGTTCGCAAAGAAGACGGGTCGTCTAAATTGCTTCAGCACTAGTCACTTTATAGCTAAGGAAAAGACAACAAATCTACCCTCCCCGCATTTCAGAGTCGTCATTCTTGGTCTCTCAAAATGTCTTTCCCCTTTTCTAAAGGAATTTGCATCCCATGTTAGTCCATGCTAGTCCAGGCTGTGGCCTAAACACCGCTCACGCCCGCACGGAGATCACTGTCCCGTTCTTCAAGCGCTTCCTGAGAGCGATGGAGACAGAGACGGATTTTGCGCTGACGGCGCTGACAGACATGGCGCCAGCATGTGAAGGTGTCCAGTACGCTACAAATAACCATGTCAAACATTTTTTACTTTGTCTTGCTCCCAGTGAATCAATTAGATGCGAGATAGGCTACTGGCCTGACCAATGGCTTAATTAAGAAGTGGTCTCAAGAACCACAAAATGTAGGTATGCATGTGCGAATGACTGTGATGATTGTGTACCACAGACTCACCAGAGCCAGGCTCCACCTGGCCACCTGGCATCGACTGCCATTGGACATAGGTCAGATCTTGAAATCAAAATAGGAATGCAGATGCGAGCGCCAACCGGGCGCCAACCGCGGCCCACCCGGCGCCGGCCTCCCTGGATTTTTCCTCCGTTCGAACGTTTCAGATGTTTATGGCAACTGCACCAAGCGTGCGTTCACCGAGCACCCCTGCTTCTTCCATTCGGGTGCCTGCAGAGTGGAGGACCAACCCGCGCGAGGGTCCCGCACAGGGGACGACTGTCCGTCAGGTGCACGACAAGTCCCCCGCCACGAGCTCGTGCGCATTCCCCCGATTCTCACAAGAGCCGACCGCATGGAACACCTTCAGGCCATCGCTACTAGGGTGGAGGCCATCGCTATTAGGGTGGAGGCCATCGCTATTAGGTTGGAGCTAGTAGCAAGGACGCTACTAGTAACTAGGCACACCAAACTTCGAAGGCTTTGGCCAATCTCGAAAGAGGGAAGAGACCCACCACGGCAATCAAGCAGGATCTCGCCTGTGCTGGAGTCTCCTGACCCGACCTTGGTGCGCTGGACCGCGAATTGAGGAAGCCTCTCCAGTCCCTATAGGCTCTAACAACCATCTGTGAGTATCTTTCCGATCAACATGTGTTCACCGTTCCAGTTTTTTCGTCTCGTATCTTTGACCTCTCACAAATCAACAGGCACCAAATGAGACCAAATAGTGAGATGGAGCTGAAAACATGCTCCTCCTTCACAACCCTCTTGTTGGAGAACTCCTTTGCCATCATGACATGTCCCTCGCCACACTTTGTGTGCCCCACGCTTCGTGGTTCAGTGAATGTTCTTCAGGCACAGAAAGTCCCTTTTCCCGTCCGGTGAAATCATGTCTTCTTCATGCGAAGCAAACCGTGATGCAACCGTGTTCAAACCGTGTTCTTCGCCGCTTCGCCCCGTGATCAACCCTGTGAAATCGAAGCTTCCATGTCCGTTGGCTGTCGAAAATGACCGCGAGACGGTCGCTGTCACGGCCGTCCCGCGCGACCGTCGGCTCCCCGGCCAGGCTTCTTGTGGAGGCGGCGTCCAGCGAGTCTGGGCCGATACGACTGTCAGACTCTCCCGGCGTCGGTCGTTCGCACATGGTGGACTGGTTGGGCTCAAAGTTTTGACCCATCGCCATCGCCATAGAGATCCAAGTCCCAAATGCTCTGACTTTGGTTGCTAGCAAGCTCATTTCTTCATGGACTTCCGGGCTAGAATGGTCTAGATCTACAAACATATTTCATATGGTAAGGCCAGAATCCTTGATTTAAAAAAAGAGTCGAAAAAATATCAAACAAAAGAAAAAACACAAATGGAAAAGTCAAAAAAAAAGTCGGAAAACCGTCCAAAAAAAGGTCAAACAAAAGTCAAACATAGATCGCAGCTCGAACAAGTCAAAACAAATCAAATAAAGGTAAAAAAATACCCGTAAACAAAAATAAGGAAAAGAACGAAAGTCGGAAACAAAAAATTGACAAAATTACTGAATAAACAACTCGAACAAGTACAAAAACAGTCAAATAAAGGGCAAAGAAAAAGTCAAAAAAGGTCAACATTAGAAAACAACTCGAAACAGTCTAAAAAAAGAAGTCAAATAATAGTGTTTTTTTTTTTAAGAAGAGTGCCAAAAAGATCGGTTAAAAAGAAGAAAAAAAATAGAAAAACAAAAGTAAAAAAGAAGTCAGATCTGGACCAATTGTCTTTTTTATGACTTTCTGAAACTTTCTGATTGGACTTTTTGTTGACTCTGACTTTTGGGACTGACTACCAAGTTGACTTGTTTGACGTCTAAAAAAGAATGAAAACAGACTCTCTCCAATGAAAGATTTTTATAAGATTGTACCCAACTTGGATATCTGTCTTTCGCGGAGCTAGCTGAATCCAAGCCATGGCACATCGTTCAATTAGAATTCTAGAGCTTGGAAGCATAGGCTCTGGGTATGAGTAGGCCGATCATGCTCTCAGCTTCACGAACCAAATATCAACTCTTGAAAGCCGCTTACAGTGGAAACCCACGGAAATGAGTATCGCCCTGCAACAAAGTCGGTGAAGTACTGTTTTCTGGGCAGTCTTGCACCACCTAGCATGTTAAGAACCCCTCCAATTTGTTGTGCTTGGTATCAGTATCTGATTCGGTGTCTCTCTGAGGACGGTAAATATCCATCGCTGTCACTACAGCTGCAGCCTCACCCGTCTCCGCATTCACGTAGTAGGTCCTGACAACTCTCAGGCAGGTTGAAGCCCAGAGGGGCCATTGCTTTTCTTTAACAAAAAAGAACAACAACTTGTTCTTCACAAGGAGGAAGTCCACAGTTTACCCACCTGACAGTGGGGAGAAGTCACAAGAAGGATGAGACATTTGGGACGCTACTAGGAGCAAGGACGCTACGAATGGGGCAAAGGGCATCGCGACTCGAGTCCGGAGCGATCGGACGCGACCCGAGTTCGGGGCGCGTGTCTGGCCTGAGACCCGTTCGCGGAGCGATCGGAAGCTACTAGAGGATGAGACATGAGTCACGTTCGAACTCGTCAAGAATTAGGACTCCACTCCTCCAAACTGCCGACCCTTTCTGGAGGCCCGCACATCCCATTGCTGCGAGACATCTTCGGTACCCATTCATCGCCCTGGGAGAGGGAGAGGTGATAGGCGCTGGTTTTGAGGAGGGCAAAGGGGAAAGCACCCGCTTCAGGTAACGATATGCATCATGTCTTGGCTCTGCCTTTTGACAGTTTTGTTTGGAGATTCCACAGAAAAGCGTGAGCTCTATATTTCGCAGATCCAAGGACCAAAAGCCTCAAATTCGACAGCCAGCGGAGAATCCGGAAACATCCTATAGTAGAGACCTTGAAAAGCTTCCAATGGGCCAAAGTAGAACACCCTGAGTTGCTAAAGGGCAATACCTAGAGGATCCTAGAGGATAGGTCTTCAATCCATTTCAATCCCAGTCCATCCTACTGACTGATGAGAGGAAAGTATAGGAAATGAGGGACATTTCGCCCCCAGAGCTTCCTTTCGGATCCTCATTCCCTACTGACGTCAGCCTAGTCGTCCGTTCCTTAACCATTGGAGGTCAGGCCTCGCGGTAGCCGCTGGGCGGAGCAGAAGCTGAGGAGTGTCCCAAGCGTTGAGCGTATACAGCGCCCTGGCCAGCTTCGAATCCCATGTTTTTACGTTTAGAAAAAGCAAGAACACACGGAGCCTTTCGAACAAAAAGCAGACCGGGCAAAATTCTTGCGGCAGGCGACCGCCAGGTTTACACAAAAGGTTTCACATCGTCCGGGTGTGCGTTTTCTTGAAGCAATAGAAAGGTGGCCATTGAGACCATGCAGGAAGACTGCAGGGTGGCTTGAACAGAGATCACAGCCAGCACTTGGAAAAATAATGAAAAAGATTCTTGCTCCTAGTAGCGTCCTTGTTCCTAGTAGTAAGGCCAGGAGCCCCTAGTAGCGTCCTTGCTCCTAGTAGCGATGCCCTTTGTTCCCAGTAGTGAACATTGCTCCTATTAGTAAGATCTTCCGCTCATCTCAGGGCTCTCGGCCTCAGGGCTGGTGACAAAGCTTCGCATGGCTTGCTCGGTGGCCGGCGAGGGAGCTGCCTCCGAACTCGCTTGGTGAGGCGAACGGAAGGGGTTGCACCATGTGTACCCGATGGGTGAGCGAACGGATGATGGACGTCCTTTTCGGGGACATCCCTGAGGGAAATGCAGAGCTCTACCATGCAAGAGATCTGACCAGTGGATAATGACCATTGAAATCCATTGAGCATCGATTCACACGGAAAAGGCCTTCCTCACTCACCCAAAGGTGCGACAGTCACCCGCCCCCGTCCTACGGCTTTCAAGGAACCGATGCGACAGTCACCTCGCCTCTTGAGTGCTTCGCACGGCGACTGAGACGTGAGGACGGCTTCCACTCACGTTCACCTCGCGGTTCGCCTCGCTGCGCGGGTTCGTACCGTACCGCGGCGTACCGCGGCGCGGTTCGTTGCGGGCCCAACGCTGTTGGGGGATTCACTCGTGTCCTGTGTAGCCACATGATTTGGGGTGACCAAGGTGTCCTGTGGATGTCAGGGTTGTGTGTTGTTTTGCTTCCTGGACGGGGCATCCGAAGGTGAATGAAACACATTCTCACTCAAACGAACCTTCAAGGACCGCACAAGTTCAGAGGCAGCTCTTTACATGTTTTGGCGCACGCCACTGCACCAGATCTGCATGACCAAAGGTCCTCTGAAATGAAAAGGATCTCCCTCCGCAGCATCAAACGTGCGTTCGGAACGGTGCGTTCTGCCTGAGGCTGTGCTGGTACATCAGCCAGCGCCATCAGGACCGTCATCTGGGGGCGCGATGGGGTGCAAAAGTACTGCAGAAAGACTTGGGACAAGAAACCTGAAGGAACTGGATGAGATGTACGGTAGACTCAGTAGATGTCTTTTTCTGCATGAAGGCTAGGCTCAGAGTGGCGCACCGAGATATGCAATAGATCATAGATCTTAAAAGCGCCCAAATCCAATCATCGGTGAATTGGTGAGGGTCCAATCAGTCGAATTACCACCTCCTTTACGAGATTGACTCTTAAATCTAGTCCCCAACGTGACCCAGCCAGAGTGGCTGGACCTGCAACACTCGAGACGAGGAGACGAAGGAAGGAAGTTGTCCAAACAATGTGGTTCTTCTTTCATTACCTTGTTGAATTCCCCTGTGCACAGGTAGTGACAAGAAGCTAGTAGAAACAAGTGCCTTACTAGTAGTAACAGGTGCCTTACTAGTAGTAACAAGAAGCTATTAGTAATTAAAAAGAGGCATCGAGTCACCAGGACACCCCAAACCACACCAAAAGCCCGTCGTGTCTACGACGCAGCGCCAGGGAGTCACGCGAGTCCCCACCAGCGACCGCCGGGGGCCGCGCCTTCAAAGACTCGCGTTGTCGCGGGGTCTCAGGCAGCCTGGAGCAGAGCAGCCTACGTCTGCCTTTGGAGGTGAAGATGTCAGTCGATTCAGTCCAGTTTAGTCGTACTATTATAACATATATAATATTATGAGTCATGCTATTTCAAGGCCTAAAGTAGCATATGAGTCATGCTATTTCAAGGCCTAAAGTGGCACTCTAAGTCCATCCAGGCCTTTAAGCACACAGATCTCAAGCTCAGCAACACACGTCCGCTCAGCAAGTAGCTGAAGAGCGTCGGTCCGCGTGCCACTCCTTCCTTGTGCCAAGCCATGTCGGCCGATGACAGAACATTCCACCGGGCTGCCGGACTCACCGGAGTCGTTCGCCGTCTCCGACTTGCTGGGCTTGGCATCCTGACGTCGGGTCGTCCGGCTCGGGGCGTCTGGCTCAGTCGAGAGGGACCTGGATCGGTGGCAAAGAGGATCTTAAGCTGGATCAGCCTTTAGTGTTGAAGGATCTCTCTAAGCTGAGGTGGATCCTTCGGGTGGTCGAGAGAAAAGGATCAAGATGGATCAAGTATTGAGAACTTTCGGGTCTCTCTAGTGTTGATATTTGGATATATTTGCGGTATGGTGCTGATGATGCTGTCAGGAGCCTCAAATCCCTCCGTTGGGGACTACTGACACCAGCCAATCGGGTGTAGACGAAACGCATTGAGGCAACACTGTGAAGACGGAACGAATTCCACATGTTACCCCGCCCCTTCGGCTTTCCCAGTGCATTGTGCCATGATGTGGCACTCCGCAAGCTGATGGACTGGTCAGGTCTTGTTTTCGAACTGCAAAGGCCATGCACCTTGACCCATTGCCACAAGAAGAAGTGCAGGAAAGCCTGGGAATCTGGGAACCTTCAAAAGTCTCTCATTCAACACAGCCATACCTCAAGCGCACCCCCTTCTTCCGTTGCTTCTTCGGGGCCCACGAGCGCCATTTCCCCTGCCTCTAAGCCGCTTGGGCCGGTCTCTGGGTGCACCTGGCGAGTTTGGGGGGGTCTGAAAACCCTCGAGAAACGTCGCAAGTGCTCCAACGTGTGTTACGCCTCGATCCGACAATCCAGCTTTACAAAGAATGCCAAACGTGGTAGACCGCCGTTCGGTCACGGACCAGCCATGACCCGTGAAGGCAGCGTGGAGCGACACACGCAAGACAAGCAGCGATGCACCATCCCATCGCCCCAATGTGATCCGGCTCAGCTTGTGAGAGTGGGCCGTTGAGCGGACAGCGAAATAGTTGAAAGGTTGAGAACAGAATTGACCACTCAAAAAATGCGAGAGTTCCACAGCAAACTTCACACCCACCTCCACTTTCAAACTTTCAAGTTCCCCCTCTATTTGGTTGAGAGATTCCCAGTGGTCCATCAGTTTCTGATCTCAGCTGGATATGCCGACCTTCTTGGAACGCCAACCCAAGGGTGTTGGCTTCTTCTTGGCATTCTCAGCATCCTGTTTGGTCGAACATGCCGTAGGAGAGCTTGAAGTGATGCAAATAAGCAAAGCAGGAATTTAGATGGATTTGTTATGTCCATGTATCTGTGCTGATTGATTTCACCCACTGCAACAGGTTCTCAGGTCCTTTCGGAAGTTCAGGGTACCCTGACCAGAGTGCGACACAGTTACTCCTCGGTCCTGCTGCAGGCGCCACTCCTCAGTGGCCTCTAGACTGGCCTGCGGACGCAGCACGTCGTGCACGCGTGATGTACTCCGTCCGATTTGAGGGACACGAAAATCGACAGCGTAGTGTTGCATCGAAACTTCCATCTTTTTGTGTGTCTTTTCTCCAACCTACTAGCGATGGCCTCCAACCTAGAAGAGATGGCCTGCAACCTACAGCGGTGCATCTTGTTGCTGGGATCTTCAAAAGCGCATCTTCTGCAAGCAGCGCTTTGGCCACGATCGGCCACGTTCGGCTCTCGAACGAGCGGCATGCGGAACGAGCTCGTGGGCAGATGGGAACCATCCGCGCCTGCGCATGCTCGGCAGCCACACGGGCGGCTGCCTGGCGAAGTGCAAGGAATTGCTTCTCCGGTGGACTGAAGCACTGAAGCTTTCACCAATGTGCCACGAACGGACAAAGGACCTGTAGATCCCGACACTGACACTGGTGGCCACTGGCAGCTACTGGCCAGCATCTATCCCATCCGCTGTGGGGACCCGCCTCAGCCTTGGAGAGTAATTGCGTGATGGCAAAGTGGGAGAAAAGGCCCATACATGCCACCACCAGGGCAAAGGACACCTCAGTTCTGAGACTCTTTTTCATGAAAGCTCCATTGCATGACTTGTTGGGCACTCATGAGTTCTTTGTCTACAATAAGTGGTCATTGAACACCAGGTGCCAGATCTTGGGCTAATGTGGGAGATGAAAAGAGCCTCATCCAAGTCTTGTCATGCAGGCACCACAAGGCACTTCAGAAAAGATGCCAAAGAACCCGTGACATCTTGGTCATCCTCACCCCACACCCAGGCGCTGGTTCCCCCCGAATTTTGGGTGAGGGCTAACCACCATCCGTCTTCCTGCCTGGATACACATGTTGAAGCACGAAGACTTCCATCGATGTGATTTGGAGGCACCACTAAAGATCGAAAATCGCACATCCGATGATTTCTCCATATTTCTCCTGTTCAAGAAGCCAGCAGAACCGCCAGAATCGCACAAATAGCACCCACGCTGATCATCTCGTGCTCCGGCGGGTTCCTGGTTGGCGCAGAATGGGCATGTGCGGGTCCGCCCTGGGTCGCAGGAGAAGCTCATCCTCCAGATCTGTACAGACTATCGGCACACCTAGTTGCTAAACGGGTCCATGGCGCTGCATGTTCAGCTTGGGAAAGGAATCAAGGGTCGGTCAAAATAGGGGAGCAAGTGTCAGTGTCCCCAATCCTGGTGTGTCTCCGTCTCTGCATGTATCATGTAAAGGTGTAGTTGGACATATTATACTTTAAAAAAAGAAAGAAAACTCGAAAACTGAGGCCTTCCGCTGAAACTTGGTTCCCTCTATCAGGACTGAGGGTTCCGGCAGTCCGGCACTCGAAGCCAAAATCAAAGAAATGATCATGCACACCAGGGCGATGGGCATCATGACCTCATGGCACCATAAAAATCACACGTGCATTGCTGCATGACTCATGCAGGATGAGATGATCCTGCACCATAGTTTGTTGGAAAAGTTCACTAGATAGACCGTTTCACAAGATGTAATATGTCTTTCACCTAGAGATGCGGGGCATCTAGTCTTATTTCATTACTGGGGCCCTGGGCACCAACTTGGTAAAGACCCTTGATTCATTCTTCCATTAGATCCATTCAATCCATTTAATCCCGAAGCATCTACAGAAGATTTCAGGCACTTGCAGCAGTCAGTTTCAAACCATGGCGTCGAAACTGTACCACATTCGCCCTCGATTCACCACCACTTTCCAGGGAGTCCTGACTCACTGTAAACTCACCAGGCTTCAAAAACGAAAACGTGCGTTGAACTTGAGCAAAACACCGTCTAGCCACGGCTGGCTGACGTCAATCTGAAGACCCAGGCTACATTGGCGTAGGCTGCGATGACATCCATACCACCTGGCATGTGTTACAGTCTTGTGCTCGAGAATAGAGAATCTGAGCCGCATATGATATATAATGCTGCAAATAAAATATCTTTCTCCAAGCGATGGCGTTTTGGAGTCGAGTCTAGTCACGTCTTTGACTATTCGATAGAAAAGTCTGAGGGCTTACTTTCATGGGCTGACCAAAGCACCACCCAGAACCTCTGGCAGGTTGGAAACTCATCTTGTCCGACATCTGTCAGACGTGGCCGCTGATCGCAACTTCGAGCCACTTCAACATCAATGTCCACAGGTTCGGGGATCAAAGGACTTGCATTAGTGGAAAAAAACATGACAACGGCATTCCTGGCCCGACATCCGTCAACATACCATTCTCCCATTCTGATGGATGCCCTCTTTCTTCATCTGCTCAGTGGGTGTGATGTAAGGGAACTCCAAAAGCTGAGGCTCAGATGTTAACTCCATCCTTCGATTCAACCTAGTGCCAGAACCAAATAGCTCAACTGCCGTCGGATCGTGCCTCCACCAATGCCGACTGACACCAAAGCCACAATGTTCACACAAAGTAGTCCTCCAGCTGCGACATCGTGCTTCAATTCTTGAGTGGATAAAACACCCCAATCCATGCCAAATCTGGAAAAAACATGTTCAGATGTGGCGGACCTTTTTGGGCGCTACAACTACAATAACCCATATATCGGCGATTGTTCGAAAGGAAAAGTGATGTGGACGGGTTCTTCAGGCTGGGCACACCAAGCCGCTGTTTTTCGTGACTTCTCCATCAGGAACTGTACTCTCCATACGTTTCATCGTCAGAATGGTGCAGTTTGTGGGAAACAGTCAAGACTTCGGAATGTTGAATGTTTCACAATACCTGAAGTTTTTGGTGGGAACTTAATAAACCTCTGTTTCAATCCACTTCATACATCTTCATGGCCAGCAGCTAGGGTCAATCAGGCGAACTCATGATACATCCGTTACCAAGTTTGGTGACGAAATGGTGCGTCCGTGGAGCGCGTCGACTGGTGCACCACTCAGCTTTGCAATTACAAACCAAAATCACACACGGTGAAAGAATTGCATCCTCATCGACGAGTCACCTTTGTAACAAGGAAGGTGTCTTAACATCTACCTTAAAGACATGTATAATGTCTTGGCATTCAAACAAACCAACCAACCAACCAACTAGCCAGCCAGCCAAGCAAGCAAGCAAGCAAGCAGCCAACCAACCAAACCACCAACCAAGCAACAAAGCAAGCAACCAACCAACCCACCAAGCAAGCAGCTAACCAAGCAAGCAACCAACCAAGCTGTTAAGAATCAACAAGTTTCTGTGCAACACTTACTTGTACCTGCTCTCGCTCAGCCATATCCCAACAGTACAGGAACAGTTGCGCTACGCTGTAGTTTTACATGGTAGCACCGCTCTGCCACCAACCGGGGCATCTCCAACAACACACCACCGCGCACAACAAGCAAAGGGCAGAACAGAGCATCTGAGCAAACAGCAACCCTCAGGGGTGCGCCACATTGCAGAGGGTTTGATCCCAACACTGGGGGACTCTCAACAACAACAACAACAACAAGGAAGCGACTATTACTGGCGTCCCGT